AAGTGCTAAGATTGCAGAGAGATGTGCGGTATGACTTCTTGGAATGCTGAAAGTGATGCTAAAGGTGCTGATCGAGATAGAGGCAAAAAAAAGAGGCCCTTTGACTGCTTTATATATCGACATCTCGGACGGCCGGCTTTACAACCAACTTTCGACCCCGGACACCGTATCAAGATACGCACATGCTACGGTGCGTCACTGTGAAAAGATTCTCACCCTGGCCTATCCGCTTCCTCCGTATCTTGAGAAGCACTTTGTCGCCATGTACTCTGGGGGGTGTTTGGCCAACGCTGTATTGCATTAGCTATCCTGACAAGGTCATCCTCCATACTACATGGGAAAAAATGGTGGCGCCCGGGGATCAAGTCAATTGTCCAGGGGTGTCTGGCTAGATGGCCCTCAACTCCCCAGCCGCCTTGACGCAAAGAAAGTGCACTAGCCAATCCTTGCTTGCATACGAGTACTGCAGAGCAGAGATTGCCAACTCCAACCGACTTGACGTCGAGAGCGCAACAAGATACTGTGACGTGCAGGTACAGGGCGTGGGAGAGCTACTATAGGTCTCTACCTCACCACCTGTGTGAATGCTCCTGGTGGATGGCTTCGGGCCTGATGATTGAGTTTACGCAGACACGCAAAGGCGCTATTTACGATGCTAACATACGCAAAGCAGCAACTCCTCTCAGCTGCCGCGACTAAGGATGGCATCCCAGAGACTACAGCAATACTAGCAGCACAGGTTACTGCTCTATCATTTAGCGCCGTCGTCCAAAATTTGCCAGTTTCTGTGGGTGGCTTTCCGGCACCCAGTCAGAGGAGCAGCTAGGGGGCAGCCCTGTGCAACTTGGTCCACACACTCTAATGTCAAGCTGCATGTATGTGCGAGACATGCTCGTACTCTTTCTTGGATGGGGCCGTTCATGTGCATTCTTACACACCCCTTGCGTCCCTGAAGCCAAGTTAGTCTGAGAATCTCTGTTATACGCCGCTTGTCGAGAGATGACAGCATGGCCGACCTACTACGCAGAAGAGACCAACTCGAAATCCAAGTTGGGAGCCCAAGGCAACTTACCGGAAACTGGCACTAAAGGGAAGAATTAGAGGAATAACCGTATGGGGAAACGGGAGTGGCCGGCCCGCGTGCTTAGACGAGTAGTAGGCTTGTTTATCGGCCGAGTAGTGGGTGGCGTTTGTTGGCCAGTGGTTTGAAGATCAGCAGCAGCCATCCAACGTCGCACTATCTGATCTGTGTACACATCTCACGGGCCGCTCAAACACGGAGGGCCGAATACCGCCCCTCTATGACGGTGACGGTGAAGAAGAGATCGACTCCGAATCATCCAGGCGGTTCTGCGGACTTTGCCATAAGGATGACTGGCGGAATGGGTTGCATAATGCTCAATTCGAGGGCCCCCCCTTTTCCCCCCAAGCGAGCATAAGATACCGAACAACTGCTTCCCCGAGAATCTATGTGCTTGGATACTCCTGCGTCATAAACAGCCACTCATCAACTGCTGCATATTGTTTCCAGGACCCCATGGTGTTGTCTCAACATCAACCGAGAAAAAAAGAAGAAGAAAAAAAAAGAAAAGAAAAAAATCCCGCCGTCGGAGACTGAAGCCCTTACCGCTCAATGGCTAGCATCCTTGCTCTCATTGCACCCGGGAGATAAACGGCATTCCCCGGAAGATTTGCAAAGGGGTGTAAATTCCACGCCGGAAGCTGGCTCGCAGACCGCTGGACCAAAGGCCAAGCAGTATTCGATGCGACTCAACGCGGATGCAATGGATCGCATCCACAAGCGCTGTTGTCTCTGTACTGCATGTACGAGTGCCTTGGAGGGGTGCAGACGAGCTTCACAGCCAAGTACATTGATCATATCGCACAAGGCGCAGCCGCTCATTGGCTATAGCAAATTCCCAAAGCAAGACGGTATGGGAGAGGGACCATGGCAGTCGTCACTGCGGAACCGTCTTGGCTTTTGGTTAACCCAAATGAGCAAACAGCAGGTTGTTTTCTCACCATCGCTCTTCAAACTTGCACCCTAGAAACAGCGAGTCGAGGCCGAAATAGAATCACACATACATGCACGGAACGCCGGAAATACGACATTGGCAAGAGGGAGAGTTCTGATGCAACAAAAACTCGGCGACAAGACGACAAGGCTCCATTGGAGGTTTGTGGCCAAGGACGTCTTGGATTGACATGAGCGTGCCCTTGGGTATGCTTGACCAAGGCACATCCGCTGTGGACTCGGCTCTGCTACCTTGCTCCGCCTTGATTTTGGCTCGGTCCGCCCCGTGTTCTGGCGGCTATCGACCCGGCATGCCACTGCTGCTAAATCTGGAATTCCAAGCCGTCCAATGGCACTGTCGCAATTGAGGGGCCTTTACTTTTGGACACTAGCAGTGAGGGTTCATACCGTAGTGCCGTGTTGGAGTTGGGAGCCTCCGGGACAAGGTCTGGCTGGATGCAGTGGAGAAGAGGCATGGTCCTGCGTCATCCCAGGCTGTTTCAACACTGCCCTCAACCCAATTGTCATAAACGTGGCACGCCATCGTCAGCTCGAGGTCAGCGGGGGAGATGGGCGTCGTCGCGTAAAACTTCCAGTTGTGAATGGCTGCGACGTGCGAGGAATTCTGGCACCGGCTCTGGAGACCAATTGAAACATGATTTCAGCCTTTCGAAACTTGATACATCGCCCTACAGCCCGTCACCGCCAGCATCAGGCTTCTAATAGTATCTAAATGTTACCTGCTGGACACACGTATAGCCTCGTACCCGAGTCATTCTGGAAACATGTCATGTTTTGGTCGCCACAATGCCCTCGCCAAGTCGTACAACTTCAATGCCTTTGGCTTCAGAGAGTGGAACCCGGGGTTTGTTGCTACAGTACGTGTGCATCGCACGCCGAGCTGCCGACGCTGTGCTATAACTACTAATAAGCACGAGAAAACAACATCAATGCAAGTCTTCTCCCACGCAAACGCCGACGGTGTTTCAGCCGCATGCTAGAGCATCAGATGCGCTCCTAGAGGCGTGAATAGTCTCATTTCCTTGTGCCGTGGCGTCAGTTCCAAACAGAAGACCGAGATGTTATCCCGAGAGAACTAGACAGCATGAGCATGAATCAGACTGCATTCATTCCAAGACGGTCGGGCAATCCGAATGCTTCATACCGAGGCCCAATTGGAATCAATGCCACGGGTGCTAAGTCTAGATCGTGTTTCGTCGTGACTGGCTTGAATGTCACTGCTGCCTGGATAGAATCTCAGGCGCTGGTGATTGATTTATGCACCTCTGGTCAAAGCGTCGTCTGGTCTCAGTCTCTTCCTCCTGAGCCGCCACCGGCCTTTTCTTTTCATAAGTCAGCCGTTCGAGAATAAGCGTAGTGTCAGATCCAAAATTCCGCGCGGATCGGTCCTTGTTCCTATTCTGTTGACGGCTACGCTAACAGCTTGCCGCGCATACACGCCCCTCCTCTCCAAATGACAGCCGCACCAGGTCCAGCTCAGACGAATGTGTGCCCTCGAGCCATTATCTGGCACCTACATACGACCGCCTCACTTTGTTCTAACCCTCCCCCCCAAGGCCTGCATATGCATGCTAACCTACTCTAAGCCCCCGGGTCATGGGGCCAGCATTCCCCGGACCAATATTTCTCTTTCGTGCAGTGTACAGCAGGCGGGAGGGGGGGCCCCAATTCTATCTGATGTGCCGAACCAGCTCACCATCCCCCAGCCTCCTACTCAAAGCAGCTGCATAGCTGCATTAGCACAAGGAGGCGCGTACGTGCTAGTACCTTGGGGCAGCCTGATAGTAACCCGGTTCTAGGTGCGAGGGATGGCAACACAGGCCAATGGTGCTCTGCATGTGTGCCACAGCCAGGTCACAAATGACAACTCAAAGCAACGAACAGGTTGTGACGGTCCACCCGGATGCTGCCGTCACTAACAAGATGTACGGCATTGGATACGTGACACTTTGCCGTGCCAGCCTCCGGGATTCCGGGTCTCTGTGCCGCCATGGTAAAGGAGGCTGTCAGTGAGATGGATGGGCCGGTATGTGATGGTGCTGTAAGTGGTGGAATTATACGCAGCATCATCAGGGCCTCGGGGGAACACACTCCGGGGGAAGCTGTCGTCAGTGCGGTCGCCCATCCAGCTGACGGATCTTCGGCGTGACATTCCGTTCATGCCTGACTCCGCGCGGGCAATCGACCACTAGCCCGCAGCAGCTTACCAGATTGGTCTGCTAGGTGCGGAGGAGAAGCGTGTCTTGGGATGCTGCTTGCTGCTGTATGCTGTATCCACGCCAAAAGCAGTCCTTTGACCGACACGCTTGTTTTCAGCCGCGAAAAACGACCCAAATACGAGCAGGCAAAAGGGGGCAGCCAGAGTGACGAGACAAGCCTCGAGCCGTGTCCCAAAATGATTCTATATTTGCAGCTGCCATGAATCCTGCTCACCACAGGCTGAAACCAAGCAAGCCCGTGTCTACATCTAACTGGTCCAAAAGCAAACGCCCCCAAAAGCACGGAAGCTACTAGTGTGATGCTCTCTGCCTCCCTTACATAACAAAGGTTCCTTTCTCCATTACTCGGCTGCACACGTCCATGATCCTGGTTTTCCGTCATCAGGCTCCAGGCAGTGACCGAGACTTTGATGGCTGCCAACAATTCATCCTCCGTGTTGTCTTTTTTCTGCATGTCTGAGTCCAAAAGAGCGGGGTTCTCAGGTTTTTGGACCCCACGCCCAATTAAAAAAGGGGGGGAGGGGGAGGCTTTTTGGTTGTTCTAACTTAGTCAAGGTGAAAGGCAAGATAAAGCAGGGAGAAAACAAGAATAAGAAAAAGAAGAGAAAAAAGGCAGCCGAGTTGCTCTAGGCTCAACGATGGGCGCAACTAGGGAGAGGGCGGCCAATCTTTTGACAAGAGAGTCTCTTGGCTCTCTAAGCGAGAGGCAGCTGCGCCATGTCTCAGCAACGTCACTCGTGCAGCTCTCACCGACTGGCCTTTTTCATGGCCTCCTTTCTTCTTTTCTTTTCTGCGGCTCGAGCCAAGGACCGCTTGATGTCTCCGTCCTCCAAGGTGTCCATGTCAAAGTAGACGGGTGCGATTTCCTGGTTGCCGGAGTTAGCATTTTCGAGCTTCAAGCCTCGTTTTACGCGAAAGATGCACGATGGTGGGGTGTATTCATTTGCCCGCAAAACATAAACTTACCAATAACCACTCCGGCCTGATGCCTGTGCATGTTCGGATGTACTGTTTAGACGTAAGGACGAATTCGTTATACAGGACCCAGTCGTACTCGGTACGCAGCACGGTCGAGGGATGGATCAGGACGGCCTGCTCATCCTTTACGGTTCGGTAAACCTTGCCTGAGCTCTCCTTCATGGCGACCTGCATGAAAAACCCGGCCAGCATAGCCCGTCGGATGTTGGTGTAGTAGTTTTTGTCCTCGAAGGGGGTGGAAATTAGGTCGAGCCCGTGCGTCTCCATGATGCGCTTGAGTTGGGCACGAACGCTGTCGGCGCTGGAAAGGTGGCGGTAGGACAAGAAGTGTTCGTGGCACCACTGCTTGGCAGAGCTTGGGTCCGAAGTCTCCTGGCCCTTGTAGGCGTGGTAGGCGTTGAGCAGGGTCAAGTGGTCGCCGTCCGGGTGGGCAAAGAGCGCCTTCATCTCGTCTGCTCGCTTGCGGCTACTCGCGGGCCGCACGAAGATCTGAGGCACCGACAAGAGGGAGGTGATGGAGAGAATCTCATTGGAGCAGTAAAACTCCGGCGAGGAGATGAGCATGACGGCCAAGGCGGGATCTAGGGGGAACTCGGACGCCAGGCTGCCGAGCGTGGTCAGCTCGCCGTCGTCGTCGAGGCAGGCGAGGTAGTTTAGCTCTTCCAGCGCCCGCATCATGGTCTCGGGGGCGGGAGGGTCCATGAGATCAAAGTGGACGAGATCTTCCACTCCCAGCTTCTTCAGCTCCAGAACGGTGTTGGCGAGATTGGACCGCAGGACTTCAGGATAAGTCTGCTCAATAAGCTCCTTCTTGAATGCCTTTTCGGTGTAGAGCCTAAAGCACTTGCCAGGCTTTGTACGACCGGCACGACCGGCACGCTGCTGCGCAGAGGCCTTTGAGATGGGCGAAACCAAGAGGGACTCGACTCGGATTCGGGGGTTGTAGATCTTTTGCTTGCTGAAGCCGGGGTCGACGACGTAGACGATGCCGTCAATGGTCAAACTGGTCTCGGCAATGTTGGTCGAGACAATGCATTTTCGGCCGGGCTGTCCACCCTTCCTGAGCGGACCAGGTGCCTTGTCAAAGATGCGTTGCTGCTGGTGCGGTGGCAGCGTGCCGTACAGAGGATAAATCGCCAGCGGGCCGGCGTCCATCTCCCGCGTCAGCTCCTCGGCCTCGAGGCTGATCTTTCGGCACGCGTCCTCGATTTCGTCTTCACCTGTGAGGAAGAGCAGAATATCGCCTTCGGGCTCGGAGGCGTGGATCTGGAGGACGGTTCGGATGGCAGCCTCGACGTAGTCCCTCTCCGGCTCGGGGGTGTAGAAGATCTCGACGGGGTGGGTTCGGCCGGGGACGGCCAGCAAGGGCGCATCGTTGAAGTACTTTTGGAACTTTTGGGCATCGAGGGTAGCAGACATGATGATGATCTTGAGGTCTGGGCGTCTCTCTGCAATCTGCTTCAGCAGAGCCATGAGAATGTCGGTGGCCAGTGTTCTCTCGTGCGCTTCGTCGAGGATGATGCAGCTGTATCTGGACATCTCGTGATCGTGCATGGCCTCACGCAGGAGCATACCATCCGTCATGTACTTTAGCATGGTCTTGGGCGTCGTCTTGTCTTCGAAACGGATGCTGTAACCGACTTCCTCTCCGAGCGCGACGTCCATCTCATCGGCCACACGCTGGGCCACTGACATGGCAGCGACTCGACGCGGCTGCGTGCAGGCAATAAGCTTGCCATTGAGATGCGGCAGCTCATCGTACACGACGTACTGGGGGATCTGTGTGGTCTTTCCGGAACCAGTCTCACCGACGAAGACGAGGATCTGGGTCGAATGATACTTGTTGAGGAATTCTTGCCTGAAAAGACGGAGGTCAGTCAGTGACTCCGCCGCGCGCAACGAAAAGCGGTGCATGGGCAAGGGGTGGCACAAACCTCTGCTTGTGGACGGGGAGATCTCGCCGCGTCTGCAGAATCTGAAAGTATTTTTGCGAGTGCTGACGGCCCGTGAAGGGGTTCGAGTCGGAATCCTCGGCCTTGGAAGCCTCCTGCGCAGATGTCTGGCGGCGCTTCATTCCCGCCAGCGGCGAGTTGGGCGAAGGCGCGCCAGATCCCCAGCCGTTCTCCTCCTCGTACATGTGGGCGAGATACGGGTTCGCCTTTCCATCCATCTTGGTCTTCTTGTTGGATGTCTCGTCCGAGTCTGCACTCGCTCGCTTGGCTCCTCTGTCGGCCATTTTGAAGCAATTGGGAAGGCGTCGCGCAAAACGGGATTGGAGTGAGGCTGCCTCGTCGCTCGCTGGAGATTTGCGGCTCGCGGTTGGCCTAAGAAAAAAATTTGGCGGGACTGGCAAAATGCTCTTATCGATAAGGCGTTTGTTAGCCTTTACGGTGCCGTCTGCAGACTTAACACTGGCCTATTTTCCACTGTGGGAGGATATAGAAAGGAGCAATAAGGAGCAATATGGACTATCGTATATATTTAGGAGTGTTCGAATTCGGTGTACAAGAAACTGTCTACTTCGCAACATATATTCATCTCGTCCCTCTGTAAAGTGATCCTTTAGCCTTTGTAACCCGTGGCCCCAAGTCAGCTCAACATCGTCACAATTGAAGCATCCACCATCACAGTCGCTGATAATACGCACTGTGGTTACACTGCCCTGTTTCTCTCCCACTGAGAAAAGCAACCGCAACAAATCAGTCTGCCTTGACATTCAAGTCACAGGAGACGGACAATCACGGCCCGCCTACGAGCTGAGAAGGGTCAGTATCAACTGAAGTCTTCATTTTCTTTTTTACCAACAGCCTGTCTCATAGCCAAGTGTCCTTTCACAGGAAAAGAAGCGACTCAAAAAAGCTCAGGCTCATCACCCCCACCAAGACAGAAACTTCCGGGTAGGGCAACAAGACAGCTTCTTACCACTTGCACGCCAAAATGAGCTCAGAATTAGAGACAGGGGGCTTCCCTTTCAGAGGGGACTATCAGGAGAATCGGCCCGTGTTTACTCTTGGGTATCATGACTCTAAGAGAGAACAGCCGCTCTCAGAGCTGCAATATGGGTACCTGCTAAACCAAGATGCGAGTGAGCTGATGGCCCTGCAGTACTGCCCAGAATACTAATCGTGTGTATAGTTTTCTGTGGCTACTACGCCAATCACCAATAGCCACTTCAAGTCTAGAGTCTTCAAGGTTGTGTCGGATCATCTAGCAACGCTGAAGGCCAATGGCGAAAAGGGAACGAGTGAGGCCACGGCCAATCGAGCAGACCCTATTCTTCTGCCTCTCACCCCAGAAGACACTGGCATGTTCCCATCTCAAGCCGTCAATACCTACGTCGCCTACACAAGCCCCTGGATCGATCTTTGCTCGAATGACCCGGTCATTGCCAACATTTCTCGCCAGGTGCTTAATCTCGAGATCAACTATGCAAGCTGGTGTGGTGTGAAGAGCATCATCATCACAGGACCTGGCCGAGACGCTTCCAAGGACGGGGGAAGTCAGGGGATCGCACAGTACTCTCGGGCTGTTCAAGAGGCCTTGACTATTGCCCCCGCCATCACCATCCTGATTCACATAGCCATGTACCGCGAACCAACTGTTGGGACACAGGTTGAGACCTTGTCCTCACTGAATGGAGAGGATGCGTCCAAGTCTTCGGGAGAAGACATTGACATATTTACTACTTGGGATTCTTGGCATCAAATCAGATCAGTTTGCAAATACAACCCCAGGCTCCTCGTTGGTAAGGCCTTTCTACTTCTTACCTGACTTCATCCAACTCTGAGCACTACTGACGCCAAACTCCCAACAGCACTCAAGATGCCAAGAGTCGTGCCAGAGAAGGATCTGCAAAATCGATGGTTCTGCGAACCTCTTCACTACTTGACCTTCGGCCCCGAAGTTTTCCAGAAGAACAAGATTGGCTATCCCAGCCTGACCAAGAGCCACCAGGAGGTCATTTTTGCCTACATGCGCTTGAAGAATGCCCCCTGGCTTTTACTCTGCGACGTCGGCCCTGACGTGCGGCACATTACCGAAGACGGCAAAGATGAGAACGCGTCTTTGACAGAGGCCGATTTCCCCAGTTTGGAAGAAGCTCACAAACCCGCCTTTCGCGTGTCTACCGAGTCTAATGTCCACTGCGATTACTTGCGATGGCTAGAAAGGCAGCAGCCTCCATTTTCAGCACTAGAGACACCCATCCTTACCAATTTTCAGGATTGGCTACAGTCGCCGCTGCAGCCCCTGTCGGACAACCTGGAATCGGCAACTTACGAAGTCTTTGAGAATGATGCCATTAAATATGACCAGTATGAGTTGGCCATCGCCGAGGCTTTGAAAGAGTGGAGCGAATTGAAGCTCCCAACCTCCAAGCCTGGCGTTGTGGTCATGGCAGTCGCTGGGTCTGGCCGTGGTCCTATAGTGACCAAGGCTATTAAAGCAGCAGAATCTACTGGCGTCAAGGTGGAAGTTTGGGCCGTCGAGAAGAATCCCAATGCGTATGTATACCTCCTTCGCCAGAACGCTCAGAAATGGGGCGGCAAGGTCAATGTCATCAAGACGGACATGAGAGCTTGGAAGGGCCCACTGATCTCAGATTCTCCCGAGACTGGTCCGGTATATGGCAAAGTTGACATCCTCATTTCCGAACTGCTCGGCTCTTTTGGCGACAACGAGCTTTCTCCCGAGTGCCTGGATGGCATCCAGCATGTTCTGGCAAAGCCTCACGGCATCTCCATCCCGCAATCTTACACCGCACACCTGAGTCCTATTGCCACGCCCAAGCTATATACGGACATTAGCGCAAGAGCTCAGACTGACTCCAATGCATATGACACTCCTTGGGTGGTGAGCCTGTTCTCACTCGACTATGTGGCCCAGAAGGTACCTGGCCACCCTCGATTCCAGCAGGCATGGGAATTTTCACACCCCATTCCCGATTCAACGCTCGAGGCCATCGCGGCACGGCGGTCTGGAGGAGTTGTTGGCGGAACTGGAGGGTCCATGGCAGGCGCTGCGGGAGCAAACGACCACAACTCTAGATTCTGCCACCTGACATTTGTTGCTCGTACTCGCGGAGTTGCCCACGGACTGGCGGGATACTTCGAGTCTACCTTGTACGAGCTAAAGGCAGGCCCGAACAAGGGCAGGAAAACGGAGATTAGCATTCACCCGGAACGAATCGATGCGAAGAGCAAGGATATGGTGTCTTGGTTCCCCATATTCTTCCCGCTCAAGGTGAGTTTTTGGGAACTCGGGACCAAATGGCAAGCTACCTACTAACATGGTATGACAGCAACCTCTTTACTTCCCCGCGGATACTGAGCTGGAGGTGAGCATGTGGAGACAGACGGATGATACCAAGGTCTGGTATGAATGGCTTGTGGAGGCGTGGACCTGGGTTGGGCCTTCGACACGTGTCAAGGTAGCATCTTCAGAGCTTTGTAGTAGCCGGAAGCTGGCGTGTCTGATGTAGGCAATGCGGCTGCTACTCGTACTAGCTAGGACGCATAGCTGCGACATTCTGTCTCCGTGATCTTGGCTTTTCACTTGTGTAGAGCGGTTAAAAATATAGCCGAGCGTTGTGCTGAAAGAACCCGAAATCGGTCAATATCTGAAGGGACCAGGATAATATGAAGTTCCTTCTCTCTCTCTCTATCTGATGTGAACTCAAATTCAAGCACCAATGCCACAATGTCATATCTTATTATGCAGCCTGATGCAGGCATCAAATGACAAACATATGAACCTCTCTGGGACGGCGGCAAATGCCGAAGCACCTCCGGGGCTCGCCGGCGGGGAAGCTGGTTGACCCGGCACCGGTACCGGCAATCGGGCAATTGCTGAAGCGCAAGCGCCGATTGCATGTGGCTCGACCGATGTTCTCGTGCTAGGATTTAATCCCTGGGATTCTCATTGGTGTCTCTTTTTCTGTTTCCTCTCTCCTCGGCTGTGGGGATATAATTCGGCGCGGAGACCATGGCCTCTGTCCGATCGGCTGTGAGAGCATTGCCCCGCAAAACGGCAGCAGGATACCAGTCCAGCTATTACCCCTCCATCCCCAGACCCAGATCTCTGTCTTTGTCTTCATCTTCGCATCGTTCGAGCCTCCTGTCCATTTCCTTTTCTCCGAGTCACGCACAGAGACGCCAGCCAGCTACCATGTCTACGCAAGCCGCGCACCCTGCCCTGCTCATCCCAGGGCCCATTGAGTTCGACGATGCCGTGCTCCAGTCGATGAGCCACTTCAGGTACGGCCGTCACTTTGCCTGGCGCATTTATTTACATTGATCGAGGAGCTGATTGTGCCCGGCAGCGAGTCCCATGTTGGTCCTGGCTTCGTGGCCACCTTTGGCGAGACACTGAGCATGCTCCGCCAGCTCTTCCAGACCACCGATCCTGCCTCTCAGCCCTTTATCCTCAGCGGTTCCGGCACCTTGGGTTGGGATCTGGTGTCTGCTAACTTGATTGAGCCCGGCGAGGACGCCCTGGTTCTGAGCACCGGATACTTTGGCGACAGCTTCGCCGACTGCCTGGCCACCTACGGAGCCAAGCCCACCAAGCTGGAGGGGCCAATTGGCGGACGACCCCAGTTCCCGGAGATCGAGAAGGCATTGTCGGAGAAGAAGTACAAGCTCGTCACCGTCACCCATGTTGACACCTCTACCGGCGTTGTGAGCGATCTCAAGGGCCTTGTCCAGGCTGTCAAGAAGGTTTCTCCGGAAACATTGGTCATTGCCGACGGCGTCTGCAGTGTAGCTTGCGAGGAGATTGCATTCGACGACTGGGGCTTGGACGGCGTCATCACTGCAAGCCAAAAGGCCATTGGCTGCCCGGCCGGATTGTCCATCTCAATGTTCAGCGGACGAGCGATGGAGACGTTCAAGAACAGAAAGTCACCTCCGGCATCTTACTTTGCCTCGATGAAGAACTGGACGCCTAGTAGGTTTTTATCTATGCGTCGATTGCGCGTGCTGATACTGACATGAAATCGCGTCTAGTCATGCAAAACTACGAGGCTAAGAAGCCGTCGTACTTTGCTACCCCATCACCCCAGCTTGTCCACGCCTTGAACACCGCCCTGAAACAGATTTTGGCACGACCGCTGTCCGAGCGCTTCCAGAAGCACAAGGAGGTGTCTGACAAGATCAAGAAGGCGGTTTCCGACCTTGGGCTGCAGATTGTCGCAACCAAACCCGAGGATCAGTCGCACGCCATGACAGCCATATATCTTCCCGAGGGCGTTCAGATTGCCGATGTTCTTCCCAAGCTGGGTAGCAAGGGCGTCATCTTTGCTGGTGGCTTGCACAAGGCGATTGCTACCAAGTACATTCGATTTGGACACATGGGCGTCTCTGTTGTAAGCATCCCAACTCACCTACCGGAGTGATGGAGTACATGTACTGATGACTCTCCCCCCTGCAGACGGACCCCAACAGAAACGATGTCGACAAGGCTCTTGATGCCCTGAAGACCAGCTTGGCCGAGTGCGGCTATACCAAGGCATAGGAATCAGGCGGGCGGTGGCGCTGGCATTTATAAAGGAAAACGAAGTGTTAGAAAACCAACATAGCGATTCTGTCCTAAAGGATGAGTGGCGTGTGCAATGGTAGAAGAGACAAAGCAGTTTATTGAAACTACAAGCTTCCTGATTACAAGCCTGATCTCTGTCTCTGAGCATTGAGCAACCGCATCTGTATTAATAATACACGCGGATGTGATGCCCTTTTAGAGTTGCATTAGCTACCCACAGAGTACTTCCCAGTGACTTTATGCTCCGGCAAAAGGGGGAAAGCAGAGCTTTGGTGAATGTAACCAACAGCATGTAGTTTTCAAGTCTCCGTCGGTCGTTGATCTGGGCTTGCGCCTCACTTGCACCAAGAACAGGCGGGGAAGCAGCTTGAAGGCTGGGGAGAACGCGTAGAGATGTAGAGATACTTGACCTGGGACGGCAACGTCATGATAACGCTAACTCCGGCCTAGCGATAGGGACGAACGCTGAGGTCGATGCAATGGATCAATTATTTCCGGACGGCGAGAGATGGAGGGCAATCCAATACATACCTGCCAGAGCTGAAGCCGTGCTGAGCTGAGCTGAGCTGAGCTGAGCTGAAAGTAGCAGTACAACTCTGCGTCATTAATGTCAATCGATAGGGGAGCGCAACGAGACGCGAGCAAGTGAACATTGAAGACAGCTGATCGGAACAAACCAGCCGTTGAAGCTCGGCCCCGCCATCCAATAGTTACTAGGTAGTACTGTCTCCAGCCGATGCACTGGATCGACCTCGACCTGTGGCGTAGGTTCCCTATAGGTAGGCACCCACAGGCCATCGCAACGCTGTCAACGGCCGCTGTAGTGGACGGCTGGTAGGCATCCAGCCGCCTGGAAGCCTCCGCACTCCCCCGCTGCAGCAGCCTTAGCTCATTTGCTGTCCAAGCACCAGACAGCAACCGGCAGAAAAAAGGATCCGCTGCAACTCTTTGCTTAACCTCGTCTCCCCACCGCGCCGCCCGCCTTTTCACCCTCCCTCACTTCCTCGCATTTTTCTTTCCACGACCTGCGATCGTGTTTCCCCTTCTTTCAACAGTCACCGAACCTCTTCCTGCGCGCCGAGAGAAGGCTGAGAATCCCCCAGCAACCGCCGCCGACGCACCGCACAGCCGCCATCTTGTGCGCTGCGTCGTCCTGGGCCCTTGGCCATCGAAATCGAACCGTGATCTCAACTGTTTCCCCCCGCCTTGAACCCCCCCCTTCGCTCGCTGGTCTGCCCACCATGCCTACCATTGAGGAGCTCGACAGCACAGTCCGGGCCTTTTACGAAGGTCGCGGCGAGCAGGTATGCATATTTAGCCGGTCGGCTTTCTCAGGCGAGAACTGTATTGAAGCTGACCTTTGTCTTTTTTTCTCCGTCTGCAGCAAAAAGCAGCTCAGGCAGCCTTGAACCAGGTAAACACTTCCTCGGCCTTATTCTCCTCATAGCCGCCGACCTGTTATAGCTCGCAACAAGACGGCGGCGCTTTAGGAAAACGCTCGCTAACGTTTGTGCCAACTGCAGTTTAAGGAGGATCCTGATGCTTGGCTTATGGTCGACAAGATTCTGTCGGACGCGCAGTATCCCCAAACCAAGTGTACGTGATCCCTCTCCCCCTCATCGCGCGTGTGGCAAACCACCACTAAGCTAGATGCCTTTGCTTGATCGTTTTCGCTTAATTTGGCTGACAACTTTTGTCAAAAGTTTTGGGATTACAAGTACTCGACAATGTCATCATGACAAGATGGAAAGTTTTGCCTCGGGAACAGTGCCAAGGTAAGGGCCCTCGCCCAAACTGTTTCTCAAATGCCATGGTGTTGCTGATAGCTTGATTACTGCTGGCTCTAGGCATCCGAAACTTCATCGTCCAGTTCATTATCCAGTGCTCCAACAGCGAAGAAACTCTACGGGCCCAAAAGACGCTCCTCAACAAGCTGAACCTCGTGCTCGTCTCTATCCTCAAGCAGGAATGGCCACACAACTGGCCCACATTTATCAACGAAATCATTTCGTCTTGCCACTCCAGCCTTTCGATCTGCGAGAACAACATGATCATTCTTCGCTTGCTGTCCGAAGAGGTGTTCGACTACTCAGCAGAGCAGATGACCTCGACCAAGACGAGGAACCTCAAGCAGACCATGTGTGCCGAGTTCTCTCAAATCTTCACGCTCTGCCAAGAGGTTCTCAACTCAGCCAACCAGCCGAGCCTTATCAAGGCCACGCTCGAGACGCTGCTCCGTTTTTGCAACTGGATCCCGCTCGGTTACATTTTTGAGACTCCTCTTATCGAGACTTTGCGAACCCGGTTCCTGTCAGTACCAGAGTTCCGAAACGTCACGCTCCAGTGCCTTACGGAGATTGGTGGTCTTCAGACCGGCGGTCCTGGACAGCCCAACTCGTACGATGAGCAGCTGGTCAAAATGTTCACCGAGGTTCTCACGACGATTGCCGATATTATCCCTGTCTCGCTCGACCTCAAGGCGACATACCCGAGCAGCAACTCCAAGGATCAAGAATTTGTTCAGAATCTTGCCTTATTTCTGTGCAACTTTTTCGGCATGCACCTGAACGTGAGATATATAATTTCCCACTCGCATTTCCCCCGGGTGCCCCTATTGGCTAACCATACTCTTTTAGCTCATCGAAAACCTACCGAATAGAGATTATCTCATCCACGGGCACTACTACCTCGTTAGAATATCGCAAATCAACGACCGTGAAGTCTTCAAGATCTGTCTCGACTATTGGCTAAAGCTTGTCCAGGAGCTCTACGAGGAGATGCAGCAGCTCCCCATCACTGACCTCAACCCCTTGCTTGCTGTCGGAGGCGGCATGTCTGGAAGTGGAGCTCCTAATCCGACCCTCTTGATGAACTACCCTCTCCGAAAGCACAAATACAATGAGGTTCTCTCCAACCTGCGAGTTGTCATGATCGAGAAGATGGTTCGCCCAGAGGAGGTTTTGATTGTGGAAAACGACGAGGGAGAAATTGTCCGCGAATTCGTCAAGGAAGGCGATACTGTCCAGCTCTACAAGACCATCCGAGAATGCTTGGTCTACCTCACACATCTGGATGTGGTTGATACCGAGAATATCATGACGGAGAAGCTGGCTCGGCAGGTGGATGGCTCCGAGTGGTCGTGGCACAACTGCAACGTCCTTTGCTGGGCTATCGGCTCCATTTCCCTGGCCATGAATGAAGAAACCGAGAAGCGATTCCTGGTCACAGTCATTAAGGATCTTCTGGGTCTTACCGAAATGAAGCGGGGCAAGGATAACAAGGCCGTCGTCGCCAGTAACATCATGTATATTGTCGGACAATACCCTCGTTTCCTCAAGGCTCACTGGAAGTTCCTTAAGACGGTTGTCAACAAGCTGTTCGAGTTCATGCACGAATCACACGAAGGCGTCCAGGACATGGCTTGTGATACATTCATCAAGATTGCGAGGCAATGCCGTCGTCACTTCGTCGCACTGCAGCCCAGTGAGACGGAGCCTTTTATCGAAGAGATTGTGCGAAACATGGGCAAGATCACTTGTGACCTCACGCCCCAACAAGTTCACACCTTTTACGAGGCCTGCGGATACATGGTTGCTGCTCAGGGTAACAAGAATCAACAGGAAAGGTTACTCGCCGAGCTGATGAACATTCCCAATGCTGCCTGGGACGAGATCATCAAACAGGCGAATATGAACTCAGCAATCTTGCAAGACGCAGAGACGATCAAGGTTATTGGAAACATCATGAAGACCAACGTTTCTGCTTGTTCTTCGACTGGCTCCTATTTCTACCCTCAAATTGGTCGAATCTATCACGACATGCTGCAGATGTACCGAGCCACGAGTTCGCTCATCTCTGAGTCTGTTGCGCGAGATGGTACGTGATGACGATGCATGAAATGACGGCATTCTTTCCACCCTTTCCTGCTGGAGCACCCTCCGTGCAATGAGCCGAATACTGACATGTAATGTAGGTGATCTGGCTACCAAGATGCCCAAGGTTCGCGGCTTGCGCACGATCAAGAAGGAGATTCTCAAGTTGATTGAGACCTATGTTGACAAGGCTGAAGACTTGCAGGCCGTCAGAGCTCAGATGGTACCACCACTGCTGGATTCGGTTCTTGTTGACTACAACCGAAATGTTCCAGGAGCCCGTGATGCCGAAGTCCTGAAAGCCATGTCAACTATCATTACAAAGCTTGCTGTACGTCATCTTGGCAGGTTTATATTTCTGGAGGAGAGCTAACGCCGAAACAGTCATTGATGGAGGATCAAGTCCCAACAATCATGGAAAACGTCTTTGAGTGCACTCTGGAGATGATCAACAAGGACTTTTCAGAATTCCCCGAACACCGAGTCGAATTCTTTAACTTGTTGCGAGCCATCAATCTGCACTGTTTCCCAGGTAAGTCTATAAGAAGATATGCAAACTCCGTGTAGCTTGGAGATAAACTTACCGGTAATAGCTCTGCTCAAACTCGATAACAACCAATTCAAGTTTGTCATCGACTCATGCTCCTGGGCATTCAAGCACGACAACAGAGACGTTGAAGCTGCGGGCCTTAACATGTGTCTTGAGCTGATTAACAACATCGCCGAGAAGACAGATATCGGCACCGCTAATGCTTTCTTCCAGCGTTTCTTTGTCACTATTCTTCAGGATGTGCTCTTTGTTGTGACCGACAGCGATCACAAGGCAGGATTCAAGACGCAGTCCATGCTGCTGATGAAGCTATTTTACTTCATCCACCCTGCCGATGGCACGCAGCCGAAGATCCAGGGACCCATCTATATGCCTGATCAGGCACAGGCTGGAACCAGCAACCGAGAGTTCCTCGCTGCCTCCGTGGCTACTCTCCTGCAGAATGCTTTCCCCAATCTTCAATCGTAAGTTTTCAAACGATGCTTCCTATCCCAGTTCTGACACTAATAATTCGTATAGAGCTCAAGTAGCCAGCTTTGTCGAGGGTCTTTTCACGCTGAACACGCAGTATGACAAGTTCCGCCTCAACCTTCGAGACTTTTTGATTTCATTGAAGGAATTTGCCGGTGACAACGCCGAGCTGTTCATCGTTGAGAAGGAACAGCAGGAGCGCGATGCCCGAGCTGCAGACATGGAGAGGCGACAAAAGGTCGGCGGTCTTCTCAAGCCATCCGATCTGGACGACGAAGAGCTCTGACTTCCGCAAGAGCTCCGAGCGGAAGTTGCGCCGAAGCGGGATGCCGAAGAAGACTTGCCGAGCTTGAAGAAGACCGAGACACAGTATGGAGCTCTAGATGGCTGGGAGCTCTACGGGCTGTGATTCTGATTACCTGTCTGGGTAACTTCGAGCCTCGGCCAAGGCTTCATTCACCAGTGTGGAACGTTTGGCTCCCATTTTCTTTTTGTAGTGATACCAAACCATAGAGCCACGTGGTCTCGATTTTTATGGCTTGACAGTTTTTTCATCCAGCACCAAAGGTAAGATGCCAGACTATATCTTCTCCATCATCTCTCGCCCACCCTTTGAGGGTTTTTTTGTCTGGCAGTTTGAAAAAAAATTCATATTGCGTGTCAAGCATGGAAAAAGGCTGGTTTATGTAGAAAATTGGGGGATTTCTTGATAGCAGGGGTGGCATAAGGGAAAAAAGGTGCTGCAAAGAGAGAGCAGGGGGAGAAGGGAGAGTTGAGAAAGGAGGAGAGTTGAGAAATGGCAATGACAATACGATTACTTTACGAAATGTAGGACTTGTTTTTTTTTTTTAAATCAGGAGGAGACATAGATCAGCTGAGAGGACGACATGGGTTGCTGGTAACTCGTCAGTAGGACGGATTATGAATAAATAATTCTTCTACAATTCTTGTTTTTTTCCCTGCCATATATACTAGAAAAGTAAAGTAGGAGAGTCATGTGGCTCATGGCGAAGAAATCAGTACTAACGTAAAAAGGGAAAGGAAGAAGAGAAGAAAAGAAAGAAGAAAGAAAACCCAGCATGAAAGATGACGATGCTCAAAACCCAACTCGGCCCAGTCCATGTATCATGAATGCCCCATATACGTTCCCATCCCCGATGCCTCGATAAATGACCAAAAAGAAAAAAACAAACAAACAAAGTGTACCACTAATATACAAAGTACATGATGCATTGCTCCAGATGCCCCCCTTTCTGATTCATAAATTCCCATATATCCTGTTAGCCGGTCGTCTGTATCCATTCTTGTTTTTTGCAAATCGTAGTTTGCTTGGCGATACGTGAAACTCGCTTCACCAAGAAAAACTCTTCCCCTCTTTCTACGATGCTCCCTTTAGTCAGTCTCTTCCTCAATCACCTTGAGAGGCCATGCCAGCGGTTCGTGCCAATGTCCTCCCAGATAACCCGCGATAGCGCGGATCAGATTTGCGCCTGCGGTGCCAAACGTCCAGAAGCGTCGGCACCGATGGATCAGCACGCCCAAGTAAGCTAGAATCACCAAGGCTTCAGGCAGCAGTGTTCGTAACACGTCCACGTATTCCGCCTCGAGGGTGACGATAAAGGCAGACGGGGCATGCGAGATGTCTGCTTCAGGCAGAGCTCGATGCATGTCGAACGCCCACTGGAGTGAGTCAATGGCCACGCGGCAGGCATCAGCGCTGGCTTGGTCAAGGCGGGGTGGTGAGGCGTCACCATACCGGGACACCGGGGAGGCGGCAGCCTCTATCATTTGCCGGAGAGCAGTGCACTCTGTGCCAGATTTCAGTGTCACCGCGGCGATGTTGGCATCGTGGGTGATGTGAAGTAGGGGGTACAGCTCGGACTGCATGAGGTAATCCCAAGTTGGGCGGACTTGGGCTAGAACACCCCGATGAAGATGGATACACTCAACCATGCGTTCAATGAAGCCATGGAAGCTGATGGCGCCACCACTAGCACCTCCACCTCCAATAACACCTCCTCCGCCCCCTCCGCCATGGACTCCCATGACATCGTGGTGGTAGGGAAGGGGCTGTGGCTGCTGATGCTGCAGCAGGGTCTCGGCCAGGACCTGGTTGCTCAACAGACTGGCAAAAAGAAATCGAGGGACGCAGGTAGCCGTATCGTCGGCAGGGACCATGGCTGTAATGCGCGTAAAGGACGACAGAGCGCGCGTCTGCAGCTCGGTGGCCTGATTCCGGAACGATGCAACTGTACCATTCAACGGCATCTCCCCGGGTTTGGTGGTGAAGGCCACATGCAGCGCCGATAGAGCCAGCAGCTGGTCAATGAGGTAGGGAGCATCTATCAGGTGCCTGATGGCGACGTCTAGCACAACCTTGACCTGACCGCGAGCCAAGATGCAATCGTTCATGGCATCGGACAAGTGGTGGAAGAGCATGAGATGCTCAACTGTAAAAAGAGAGGCCGGAGGAACGGGCGGGTGGTATGCGGTGTTGGTGAAGGATTCGGTAAAGGACGGCAAGGTCTGAGGACCGGCGGACGGCGCCGGAGCGAACCTGTAGCGACCAGCACCGAGTACAGACTCTGGAGATGTTGACGAGGGATCAGGACCGCATGGCGGCCACGGAACCGGGTGGTCCGGCTCGCACGACGATGGCGAATGTTGAGATTTGCGGCTCAGATGCGAGTCGGCCGGGCTGTGCGGCAGCTGCGGCGGCGGTAGGGGCTCGAGTTGGCTCTGCGGCTGGCGAGCAGGAGGGAACGAGCATGCGCGCTCAGCAATTGTGCAGTTGGTGCAGGCTGGACGGCGCTCGTCGCATCGTATGTGTCGTCGCTTGCACTCACTGCAGCCGTTCCGGGATTTTCGGTGCGAGCGTCGAGTCTTGACGACGCCGTTTGAACCGGAGCTCCCGTTGAGCTGGTGGTGCATGGTCATGGCTGGCTGGGTTGCCGGCAGGACGAGGGAACGATGGAGGATGAAGAAGCGAAGAAGCCAAAATGGATGGCGACCCAAAAGACCCCCCCGGAAGCTCTGGGTGGTGTTTTTGTCTCTGGTCAGCCTGAGCTGAGTGGTAGACAATCACAAGCTGCCGGTGATAGGTCAAATGCCGTCAATGGCATGTAGAAGTACTTTTGCCAACTTTATGCTTGCTGTCAGGCCGTGGCTGCCGTGGCTGCCGTAGCTGCCGCACAGGCAGTTGCTCCGCCACAAAGCCTCGGGAGCGGAGCCGAGAGGAGCAAAGTCCGAATACGAGACGGGGTGAGGTGCCATGCTTAAAACCCGTGTGGCTGGTGCAATGGGGAACTCCAACTCCGCTGAAGTAATACCGATGCGATGCGATGCCGTCGACCTGCAGAGAGAGAGAGATCGTGTCGTCTTGTCGAGGATCAATTCAGTTCTTTTTTCGGCCATTTCCATCTAAGCAGACGAGGTGGAGTCAGCCAGAAAATCAACCAGTCAAGTCTGCGACGGCACTTGCTGGATAGATAGCTGCAAAGGATAACGTCCGATTTGGCGGTGCCAACGCCGTCGGGAGCTGATGTGGCACCAACAAAGCTCACAAACAAAAGGGCTGACGCAGATAGATGGGGTACAAGGCAGATACATACGGGTTGTGATTGGCCAAAAGAATCCGAGCCGCATGAGGGTATCGAGTACAGGGTTCGAAATGGGATCGAGTGCCGATGATGCGGAAGAAAGACTTCATGTTCCTTGGAAAGAGGAGCGCAGGTGCTGACTTGGAACCGCGCAATGTATCAATGGCGCAAGTAAACCGGCCTCATCGTAAATCAGCAACCAGGAATATGTTGCAGCATCCTGCAATCGGCCACAGCTCCATGGTTCGTAGCAACACGCCACTGCTGCATTGATCTCTGCTGCAGGTCAGCGTCACGTCTGCATCTTCATTCTTGACACGTCGTCCGTCGTCATGCGGGTGGTGGGCGTCAGGGTGTCTCGACATGCCAATGTTTCGTGCATCGCGGCGGGAACGAGTCGAATCGAGGTGTAGTTTCGACAAAGCGTGCGTATAGGAAAGAGATGGAAGCTGGTCAAGTATTTATACGAACAAGAAACTCAGCCACAATACTTGAGAGGGGTTGAGTGTCCCAGTGCAGTATTCGAATGGACGCCTTCTAGACACCGGGCGTGGGTCGCGGATTAGTGACGAATGATAGTGGATAGCGGACATTGAGCTACTGAGTTATTCCCTAGACGGGCAACTAGCTCTGCGAAAATACGCGTATTACAGCTACCAGGGGGCATCCATACATGTATGTAGGTATTGCGGATGCGGAGTTGTTCGAGTATCCGATTGATTAACTCGTAATTTGATTGTATATTACATCTCATTAAGCCATCAATCTATTTTCTCTTTGATTTCTATACATCTCCACCTAAGTCTGTGTCATCTCTGGCCATTTGCCTAAATATTTCCAAGCTTTCACTCTTGGTCTGAAGAGAACGCTGGATAGGTACAGACTGTGTAATAAGATGGTTAGTGTTATTGTAATAGTAAAGTATATAGCAGGTTCTGGGTTCATACTTGGCAGTATGTTTGATGGGGTGATGCCGAGAATGTCACTTAAATATGCTATTGAGGTTCCCCACAGAAGATTATACTTCTACGGCTACTGCTGGTTCTTTAGAATGGGAAACCCTTCAAAGTCAAAGGAGCCACAAAGCAGAAGATGATTCAAAAAGAAAGACTATAAGGCTATAAAGTAAACATATAAAGGCCGCTGAGGCCCGCCGTGTTGCAGGTAGGCTGATAAAAGTCACGCTTACACTTCTCGCAAACAACCGTGTGTACACGATACTGCCCACTTCATTATCATTCAAACATTGCATTGATCTTGTGAAGCTTGTGCAATATTTCTGTTGTCTCATTCCGTTTCATCTCATCTTCTTCTTATCCCCTTCGAAACTACCTCGCTTTGCCAATGGCTCCTCGAATTTACCCCCGAGAACCGCGTTCAGTAGAGGACCTACTCCATAGCTAAAATAGAAGGCGTATCGAATGCTTGATGCGGGCTTTCCACTCGAAGACTCCACGGTTGATTACATTACGGATATTGATGAACGGCGTGACACTTTCTTTCAATTTTCAAGAAAAACCAAGATGATAACAACATCCAGCCCGGTCTCAATGCAGTGGGACTGGCCATCATCCTGGTCGCGCCCATTGACCAGCTGCGACACCTATTAAACGAGTTAAATACGGACAAGTACCCCCTATGCGCGACCAGAGCCGCGAGCATCTTCGCAACTATGCATCTAGACGCTGGTCTTGGAATCAAGGCTTGTGAGTGATCCCAACCCCAACATGTTCCCTTTCCTTTCTATTCCACCCCGGTAGCATTTAGTTAACATCTGTATCCATCTATGTAGTCATCAGAGCTGGGAATTGTTGCCACGGAAATCCAGATAGATATTAGGACCGATGTGACAGCTTCACCACGTCGATTCCGCCCAACTACGCGCCGCGCCGCGTGCTGGTCCTATTCGTGGAACCGACGACGTCTCCAGGATCCGGATCATCCCACAATACTTTTGTAAAAAGGACTTCTTGATTGCATTGGCACAATGCTTCACGTATTTTGGAACGAAAAGACAGTAAAGTTGTGGGAGAAGCTATCTGCCTACAAATGGTTCCACGAACCGCTACATACCCGGCTCCATATTAGCGACAACCTGCACAGGTGGCTCTCCAAAGCTAGGGTAGCGCTGAAGCCTTTGGACAAGATGAAGGACGGCTCGATCATTGTCCAGCTGTTCTGGTTCAAGGGAACAAGCCTAAAGCCCCAGGAGTTTCTGACCAAGCCACTCGATTCTGTGTCTCTTGAAGACGTCTTGAAGCGAGCCGGACTCGAAAATAACCAGGAATGGGGTCCGCCGGCCTTTCGAGCGGACGGCCATAAACTCCAGAGTGGCCAGGTGTTTGTTTTGAGGGCAAACAGGGCCGTGGGTATCGCCACCCCCCGCTTTGAACGTTTATAGCTTTTGTGGGATCTTACTCGGGTTGCGGCCATATGTGGTGCGATCAATGAAGCAGATGACTTGTTGGATGTGGACGATGTGGTGGACTGTATGAATTCATGTGAGGGCGAGGGCGAGGGCGAGGGCGAGGGCGAGGGCGATGAATAGGGATACTAGGGATATTAGGGATATTAGAGATGCTAGAGGGTAAAATAGAAAATCTGCATATTCGACCACATAATTCTAACCCAGCGGATCCCGCCAAGGGGTATACTGCATTAATAATAATATATCGCTATTAATCAAAGCCTTCAAACTCCTCCTCCTGGGCTGCTGCCTTTGCTAGATTCTGTTCTCTGACCTGTCTGATCAGCTCCTTCAGCTCAGCCTGCTTGGCCTTCTCCTCGTCAGTCATCTTGGCTGTCATCTTGGCTTCCGTCTTCTTGTGCCTCTTCTCCCTTCTTTCGGTCCGGACCTCCTCTTGCTCATGCTTTCCGCTCCATGCCTCGTTGTTCTTCCTCTTCCGCTTAGCCTCGGCTGCCTTCTTTTCTGTCTCTCCCGATTTATCAGCCGCCATGGCTTCATGCCTCGCCTTCTCCCGTGCCGCATCCTTATACGCAAATGTATCCCAATCCATTTCAACTCCCAGCATCCTATCTCCAGTCCATGTTCTCAACTCAGGCATCCTAGGTAGGCGGAGAAGCCCCCATGCGTGCCCAAGATCTGCCCAGTCTAGGTCGGCAACTCTGAATATTGAAGTCGCTTGATGTGCTCCGTAACTGCGGACCCAGCTGACGAAAGCTTTTTGAGCTTTGTCGTGGATCGCGCGATCCGCCTGGAGTAAGGCTCTGAATTTTGACGTCGCACTTTGAGCCTCATCTTCCGTCACAGAAATTGAAGGCTTCAGTAAGGGTGTAATAGGGGTTTGACGAATCTCTAGAAATTTTGCATAGTCTTCTTCGTGTCCAGGATGAAGCATCACCACAGCCAGTCCCTTTCTACCGGCACGACCAGCTCGTCCACTCCTATGGATGAATACCTTGGGATCTGAAGGGGCATCGATTTGAACAACCAAGTCGACTTGAGGGATATCCAAACCACGCGCCGCCAAGTCTGTTGTCAACAGAACAGTAGGAGAGACAGAAGTCAGGAAGCGGTTGAAGTTCTTCTCGCGCACTTTAGCCGGATGCTTGCCGTGCAAAGGCACCAACGAGAATCCTTGAGATAATATTTGCGGGAGGGTGTGTTGGAAATAGTCCACCGCAGCACATGTAGACAGAAAGACGATGCTTTTCTGAGGCCGCACGGGAAGACGCTCCAAGAGCTGTGCCAAGGCTGGCAGCTTATGGCTAGCCGGGGTAACAAGGTAGGACATCTGCAGACTTGCTGGAATCCTTCTGTCCTCGACAACTCCACCATCCCTCATCTTGACCTTGACCTCAATCTTGACCGGATTGCGAAGTCCAACTCGGATAATCTCGCCAACGGCCTCGCTAACACTGGCACTAAACAAGCCCGTTCGTCGCTGCTTGGGGAGATGCGAAAGAATGGTCTGGAGGTCCTGCTTGAAGCCAAGATCGAGTAGCCGATCGGCCTCGTCGAGCACAAGTGCCTCAAATGACTGGTCGATGTGAACATGGGGGGAGGCTAGTAATTCAACAAGACGACCTGGAGAGGATATTAAAAGGTTCGGGCTGTGTCGGACAAAGTAGCTCAGGTCTTGTGCTGGTGTGGTAGTTCCTCCGACTAACAGCTGAGGGACGATGGCGGGCACGGCGCTGCTGGGCCGCTTTTCTTCGCCTTTCAGGTGCGGTAGTATCTCGGCGGAGGGCGCATGGAATTCGAGGAGGGACAAAAGGACGGTATGAATCTGTGCGGCGAGCTCTCGCGTAGGCGAAATGACGATTGCACCAATATGATGCTTCTTGGTCGGTTCATCCAAGCGCAAGAGTCTCTGAACTATGGGAATCAAGAATGCGAGTGTCTTTCCGCTACCAGTAACGGCCTACGATGCAAGGAATGGAGTTAGAATGACGTAGAACAGCAGACGAACAATGAATAGTGCTAGAAAACTCACCTCAACTACTACATCCTTGTTACCCAGAAACTGCGGCATAGTCGCAGCCTGCACCGGCGTCATCTGCTTGAACCCCATGCTGGATACGGCATCGAGGATCCATTCCGCCAAAGGAGGAGTCAGAGCACCCCAAGCTCTGGGATCTCTCTTTGCGGGAACCTTTCCAGGAGCCATTGTGTTTGAGTCTGGTGAAAATTGATGTCCCAGCGCCACAGCGCAAGGCCTATCGTCGATACGATTGAGGCTATCCAGGAAATTATTTTGACGTCTTATCTTATCTCCACGTGAGGATATCCGCTTACTTTTCTACTCGAACGTCTCCCAGCGGTTAATTGGTCTTTGGCTGCGGCTACTAAGCCCAACTAGGTACGGAACACTCCGGAAAACTGCCATCCTAGGCAATAAGGGCATTTCAACACATGAGCATCTTTCTGGAAGAAATGGACATCCGCACGAGATCGGAGCGTGGAAAATAACTTTCCAATTCAGACTAACCCGTAAGCGGCAAGCAATTCCTCTCATGCACAGGAAATTTGATCAGGCAAAAGGCACGGGCTTGGACGCTCCGAACACCCGCGCTTCCGGCCGCACAGCAGAAACAAATCGGCACGTGAAAGTCCAACAGAGAACAATCGCGGCCCCAACAAAGGACCCGATGACGTTTTGATAATGTCCGGGCGGACAATTTCTCAGGTCGGTTGCACTGGTCCATAAAAATGATCAGATTGGCGGGTCACATGTGCCCCTTTGACAAGTGACAAGCAGCTCTGCCTTGGTACCTTGTTAGGGCGCCACGGCTAAGAGAGACGCACACGACACTGCCTGGGTGACTTTTTTTTGGTGTCTGTGGCTTGGGGGTCGGTTTGAGGCTGGCCAGCAGAAGGGGAAAAAAAACTTCGCCATGGGCTGGACATAGCCTTCCGTGTACTCGTGCATACTCGTACTCGAATGAAATTAACAAACATCCTAGCCGCTTTGCAAAAAAACTACGAATGACTTGGCCTTGTTCCGTCGACTGCAACAGCCAATAAATATCATCGACGCCCGCTGTCCTCTTTCATCCTGCCTCCCACTCCGTCTTCTTTCGGGCGCATCCTCCGTTATCTGTCACTCCGTACCGGCGCTGGTAATGTGGCAGAGGGTCTAGCCTCTACCGCATCGCTGCTAAACCATCGTTCATCCTGGAGGACCCAACTCGCCCCGTCAATCTGTCCCCTGTCAGCCACTCGTCATCGCACAGCCTGTTTGAGCTCGAGCTCTTTAGCCCTCACAGCATCAGCGGCCGAAGCAGAAGCAGAAGCGACAGCGACACCAGCAGCAGCAGTAGCAGCAGCAGTAGCAGCAGCAACAGCAACAGCGGCGGCATTGACGTTGCGCGCCTCTCGCGCCGGGACCATCACCAGTCTCTGTGGCCCTCGGGCTTTGAATCGCTGCGGCGGCTCGTCGTGGGCGCCGTCAACTGCCCTGCGCTCCCGCCCGCGAGCTTCACCATGTCGCTGCGTCGCCAGTCGGCCCGCGTGCCGCAAACGCCTCGCATCATCTCGCCAAGCCCGACGCCGTCAGAACGAGACGTGCAGGATTACGTGGGCCCCATGACCCGGAGTCGAAGAAAGGCCCCGACGCAGCAGGCGGTGGAGGAGGAGCCGAGCGATGGCAGCAGTTCCAGTTCCGGGCCCCGAAGATCCCGTACAAGAAGCCGCTCCCCCCTCGAATCGCGCGTGCCTCGCATGACCAAGACGCCGACAGCAGCGTCCAAGACAGAACAAGACGGCATCATGGCCACAGCAACGGCCACGGCCACGGCCGCTCGGCTGGCCACGACAAACGGCCATCTGGCTCCTCCCCAGCCCGTCACCGCGGGATGGAGCTGGCGCGACTTCAGCCGCAGCCCCAGTCCCCTCGGCCTCATCCCCATCCACAGACACTGGCGGACGTTTGTGCACAAGCACGAGGTCCCCCGCAAGGCCTTGCACGTCTCCATCGGTTTCTTCGTCGTCTGGCTCTACAGCTCCGGAACCCAGACCAGCGCCGTGCCGCCGTACCTGATGGCCGGTCTCGTGCCCATCACCACCGTCGACTGGCTGCGGCATCGATATGCCTCGTTCAACCGGCTCTACGTCAAAGTGCTCGGCGCCCTCATGAGGGAGAGCGAGTACGCGGGCTGGAACGGCGTCATCTTCTATCTCCTGGGCGCCTGGATCACCCTCTACTTCTTCCCCAAGGACGTTGGCGTCATCAGCGTCCTGCTGCTCAGCTGGTGCGACACGGCTGCCAGCACATTTGGCCGTCTCTGGGGACGGTATACCCCGAGACTGCGCCGCGGCAAATCTTTGGCCGGGTCTCTCGCCGCCTTTCTCGTCGGCGTGGTCACCTCGTACCTCTGGTATGGGTGGCTGGTCCCAACCCTAGGCCCCATGCCCGGTGACGAGAACTTCATGTTCACGGGCACTCTGTCGCTGCCGCAAGCATTGACCGAGGCCGTCGGCATCCCGGACAGCATGGCATCCGTCTCCGGCTCCGTAGCCCTCGGCATCATGAGCGTCTGGTCAGGATTCGTCGCCTCTGCCAGCGAAGTGGCCGACCTCTTCGGATGGGATGACAACTTGACGATCCCGGTGCTTAGCGGAATCGGCATTTGGGGCTTCCTTAAACTGTTTGGCTAACCATGTACAACCTTTTGTTTAAAGGAGGCTACATTTGTTTCGATAATGATATATATCCATGTCTCCACATCTTCTTCACTCTGTAATGCAGTTCCTTCTCTCTCTTCCTCCCCCTCTTTACTTGTACTTTCTATGTCACGACACTTGGAGGTTTCTTGGTTCTTGATTGCGTTATCTGGCTCCTCTGGTCCACATGGCAGAGGGCTATCGGCGAGATGCTATTTATACGATGGATCACCGATCACATACGTGCGAAGTAGTCACCCAGGAGGTGCTGGTTAGATAGCTCCTAGGTAGATAAAGTACTAGGTAGACAAGGTAGACATGTTATTTGATATACCTATTCCAAACGCTTCTTCTGTATGCATCGTCCGCATAAACCCCATGCGAGTGCCTCCTCAGCTCGGATTGGGCGACAAGTGACCCTG